AGCAGCGAATGCGGCACGCGTCCTATAGGAGCTGACTCAAGACTTCCAGCACTGTTTCAAACAATTGAAGGTTCACATGGACCATTGTACGGATAGAGGAGAGGTGTATATTGAAAGTGATAATAAGTAAATATGTATGAAATCAAAATAAAAAAAAATATAGCATCAGTTACAGCTTATTTATTTTATAGCTCGTGTTGTTTCATAGCCACACCTTGTACTCTTCAACTAGAGCTGCGAAGTTTACAGCAACAAGTAAACTGTACAACAATGTATGTGGTTCACCCGAGTACTAGGAAATTATGGATGGCGAAGTTACTAGGATTGGCAAAGGTGAATGTTCATTTGTTTTTACCTCACGACAGGGGAGTAGCAACAGCAGTATCAATGATACCGGGCCACAAAGCTACAGGGACCCCAACATGTGTAACTACAGTCCTACTAACAGGGCTCATATCTAAAAAAGAGCCCCGAAAGTACTTTTGATACAGGGCCCACTCAGAACTAAGTACGCCAGTGCTTCACAGTCAACCATTGCCGTTTCTATAGATAGAAATGCTTACTCACAATGTTTCCCTTTAACACGCACTTCCTAAAATCTGTAAGCGGAAGAGCTAAGGCCGTTTTAATGCATCTGTCTCAATAGATGTTTGAATTCAAGGCCAAAAGTTCAAAAAATGTTGGCCTTGAATTCAAACGTATCTATTCTATTATTCTATTCTCAAATTTTGGCCTTGAATCTCAAGTTGTTCGTATTCAAAGGAATCATTATAATCATTTATCATTATAATCTTGCTGTAATTTAAATTTTTTTATAATGAAAAATAGAGTAGGGGAGACCGGGGCAAGATGACGAATGTCTTAATTTTTCCGTTTTCCGCTAGGTAGCAAGATCAACTAAACACTATTGGCCATTCGTTAAAAAATAGCATAGAGAAGCTAAAATTGCCCTTTTTGTGTTAGTTGTGAAGCTTTGATTGTTTACAGCTGCCCCGATATAACTTTTATCCATGTGTAAATAAGCTCTGCTAGAGATACATGCAAGATATATCATTTATCTTTAATATTTATGAGTAACTTAGTTTAAATACTAATTATTACCACGAATAAATGTCAATTAATCAACTTCCTTCATGGAAATGGAAACGAATATTTTTAAACAGGCAGTCCGGGACAAGATGACGGGGGCAAGATGATCAGCTCGTCATCTTGCTCCGTGTTTCGGAATTTATTAAACTAACCATGTTGTCTATTCTATTAAATCCTGTAATACTAATTTGTCTGTGTTTTTGCCCGCTCGACCTTGCGCTTCTTCTCTTCTGGGGCTAAGGGGTGCATCGAATCGGGGAATTGTCGTTCGAAAGGGGGCAACCGGAGGAAGGCATCTTTGGCATCCGCTAACAACTTTATGGTCACTCATCCAGGACAAACTATCATAGACAAAAATATTGGTCAGCGTTTGAGCACCACTTACTTCAGAGCAGCTACAGTTGGAAATGCCGTTAAAGCGTTTTAAAAAAATGTGCGATTGAGACTCATAATACTCTTGTGTTTAGCGAACATGACTTAGCTGCTTCAAAAGCTACTGACCATGATGTTGTTGGCGATGAAACTGTGAGAATAATAGTGCTAATCCTCAGACCCTGGTAGTAGAAAACCAACATATAAATCCTCCAGAAGAACCAGAACTTATGGAAAATGCTGATTACGATGCACTAAAGAAGCCTGTTAGTATTTTTTTTATTTCAAACCATTGCCTAAAGCAACACAATGTGAGACAAAAAAAGAAAAAGCAAAAAAGGGAGTCTAAGCATTTTTACAAGCACACCCATCAAAGAAATGTTAGAACAAAGGAAAAAGTAGAACAGGAAACTTTAAAAAAACAGAAAAGAGAAGCCCGTGAAGCTAAAAAAGAAGTAAAAAAACTCAAACTAAGTTCCTGTAGATTATAAAATCTATAAGCCAAACAGTCCAGTTACATCAACTTCAAAGGATGGTGTTATAACATGTCCTGCTTGTGAAGAGGAATATTGTGACCCTTCAATCGAAGAATGGATCCAGTGCTGTGAATGCCTAGAGTGGTAGCATGAGGAAGGTCCCAATTATGAAAACAGCATTTTTATTTGTGACTATTGTTAGCTGCACACAACTAAACTCTTCAACATTACGTTACAATGGGTTATGCTTAATTCGATACTTTGTAAGATGTAAAAACACAGTTATCATTTGTTATAAACCATGTAACATATTCAAAAGATAAAATCTGTTCAACCTTTCTCAGTGCTGTCATCTTGCCCCAGTAATGGAGCAAGATGACAATTTGTTAAAAGGTTCTGAAAAAAATAAAATTATCTTTTTTTTTTATTTGAAAAATTAAATATGGTAATGTATTTAATACTACAAAGGACTACTCTAACACTTCATATAAAAATAATTTTTTTCATCCTTAAAAATAAATTAATAAACAACAAAATCTGTTAGCATCGTCATCTTGCCCCGGTCTCCCCTATATCTTTTTTCTCAAAATATTCTAAATGTATGTTGATGCTAAGAAACTCATTGACAGATTGTTTGCTGATATCACACTTTGAAGCTGAACAAAGGCTACTGGTGACAGAGCCTATTTTTTTTGTATCCTAAGCAGGCACGTAACCCACTCCCCAAACTTTCAAACGTGACACACTTTGAGCCTAGGTAGATTTAACACGCATTAGTCCCTCTACACAGTGAGTCTTCAGTGACACCAGGTTCCGAATTCGCGACTCGGCAATGCCGGACACGGCCTCACGTCCATGACTATTCGGTTATCATGACTAGTCTACTTCAAACGAATATACTACTAAGCATAATGATGGGGAAGAATTCTTGCAAAATTATTTCACCTTCTTTGGAGAAAAAAACGGAGCTAATGTGTTCAAAACCATACCACCACGCTCCCCTATCAAAGTGGTAATGATAGCGATCCTTTTATCCTATTTTCAAAAACAGTTTTCGTGTAACTACACACCACACCTAGTAATTTACTGACCACAACAAAATAATAAAACAAAAACTTAAGTAAACTTACCACAGTGTGGGATAAATTTTCTTCTTTGCTAAGTCTCCCTGAAAGAGAGAAAATAATTCAATATATATCATATTATTATACAACATTAACGTCCGTATTAATTTCGAAAAAAAAAAAAAAAAAAGACAATTCCTACTTCGGTCAACAAAGAAATGTTTTTTTTATTTTAGTCAATTAAATTTAATTAATGAATTAATGTTCGAAAAAACTGTATTAACATCAAGTGTCAGTCATTATAACTTTAAAAAAAAATGAATTTGAACTTGAATGGATGAATAAAAAAAAGTATTTGAAGCTAAGAAAAAATTCGTTAGAAATACTTACTGGCACCATTCGTTGCAGCTATTTCTAACTTCGTCAGAAATAACCCAGAATAAATTTTTAAAATTAAAAAATAAAATTTAATTAATGAATTAATATTTGAGAGATAAAACTTTATTTTCATCAAGTGCCACATCCACTACAAGTTTTAAAAAATGTATTTGAACTTGAGTGGATGAATAAGAAGTATTTTACTAACAATTGAAAATTTGAACAAAATATATAGATAAATATTCAAAGGGAGAGTGTGAGCTAATAGTAGGAGTTGAAAAAATAATTTAAAATAAAAGAACTTTTCAAATCTAACAAAAATCCCATTTGTGTTGGCCCTCTTTTATGGCATAGAATTTATGCGAAGCTAGACATACATCGAAATTATAATACTCGATAAGATATTCCGGCCAGGTGGTCAGTCTGACACGAAACTCCCAATGTTCAGTTCCCAAGCAAGTTTGGTACTCATTTATCGATCTACTGAAGGGATTAAAGACTGAGTTGACCTTCCCAGCCCGGGGTTTGAACAATGGACCTGTGGCGTTGAAGCGTGATAGACAACCACACCTTTTATTAAATATATATATATTCCACACCTTTTATTAAATATTCCACACCTTTTATTAAACATTTCACACCTTTTATTATCATCCTTTTACTAAGCATTTGTACTAAAAGTAGGGGATAAGAAATAAGCAAGGATAAGAGCAAAATAGAATAGAAGTTTGTCCAATATGTCAGAAAAATCATTTTAAAAATAGATAAAGAACACAACGACTTGGACACTTTTTGTGATAGCAGTGATATCACTTTAGAACAAATACGCACCAGGAAATAACAGCGAATATAAAATCTAATTTTAGGTTTTGGATGGCTTTATCCATTTTTTAAAAATATTATTCTAGAATTAAATAGTCTTTTTCCTACTTCTTTTCAAATAAAAAATTTATTTCATTTAATACAGAGTGCATTTATTATACGTGTAGCCTTATTTTTCTATTTTCCTTATAAATAAGTTTGATTTCATGTGATTCATTAATAAAATTCTTCAGAAACGAATGTATCGTTTAAAAAGAGCAATGAATGTAAGCAAATTAAGCTAGCAGGATATAATATATATGCATGTATATTGCATAAATACATGTATATACAGTCGGACACCGATTTAACGAATCCCTATTTAATGAATTTTTTATTTTAATCGGGGAAAGAGAAGACAAAATAAACCCCGATTTAACAAATTATCTCAATAGTTGAAATTTTTTTTTAGTAGCTTGTATTAGAAAAAAAAGTGTATGTGTACTTATGTACGCACGTAAGAAGTTATACTTCTCTGGAGTAACAAGATTAAAATCTTTCTAAAAATCTTTAGCTGGGACAAGGACGAAAGGCGGTCACGAGCAGAGTTGAACGATACTAACCTTCAGTCAACGGACCAGCCAAACCTGAGATAATCACGATTTAAATAAATTTAAACACCCCCGCACAGGGACAATAGGACCAATAATATGGGAAGGGGGTCGAAGGCGGAAATGATCTGTCCCGTTCTGCATATTTCTAGACAAAGCATTTTTCGTATCCATTCCTACGGAACGCAAAGCTAAAAGTTCGCTGACGTAGGGGTATAGCTCAGTGGATAGATCATTCGCCTGAAGATCGAGAGGTCCTCGGTTCAAACCCGGATGCCCCTTCTGCATGGAAGTGAAGAAAAATATTTTTTTGAGGATTTTGAAGGCGGGAATGATCTGTCCCGTTCTGTATATTTCTAGACAAAGCATTTTCGTATACGTTCCTACGGAACACAAAGCAAAGGTTCGCTGACGCGGGTGTATAGCTCAGTGGCAGAGCATTCGACTGCAGATCGAGAGGTCTCCAGTTCAAACCCGGATGTCCCCTTCAGGAAAGTGAAGAGGAATATTTTTCTGAGGATTTCGAAGGCGGAATGATTCGTCCCGTTCTGTATAATTCTAGACAAAGGATTTTCGCATCCATGACGGTGTGAGTCACATCCGTGATGGTTTTGCGTCGCATCCGTGACGGGGTGCGCGCGCATTGTAAAAATTTACCCTCATCCTATTTCTCTAACGCCCCAAAAGAAGTATAACTTCAAAAAATTGAGATTTTTTTTTCAAATGATATCCTTTTTGTCCGGAACAGAAAAGGATGTTCCCTGAAACAGCAAATTTCGACGGGAAAGGGAGCAAGACCATTATTAAACTAAATGTGCAGATGAGACATGAGTGAACCTATCGCGTGATTTTTGAGTAGGACAGGAAACTCTTCTTATCACATCCCACTCCACAAGGCACGGGATATTTTCAGATTTTAACGATTCTGTTACATTTGATGACGGACTGCCTATCGGTGCAACTGAAGATCAGGAAATTGTTGATTTATCTGAGCCAACGAATAGCAATTCTGATGCAGAAATTGACAGTGAAACTTATCCAAACTGTTACATTTCTAATGTTTTACATCAGTGGTGGGTAGACTTTTACATGGTACGGTCTACTTCTAATTTTTACAAGGTGTTGCGGTCCACCCAGTGGGTAGGTGTGGTGAGCTAAAAAGGTCAACGATGTTTATACTATGACAATAATAAATACAAAATATGTATTTACCTAAATAACTACATAAAAATCTTTACGTCACGTTTAAAGAAAAACGCAAGATACACAAATTTAAAAACAATACTCACAAATTTAATAATATCGCATGATGCATTTATTATCAAACAGTTCAAAATACATTGAAAAAATAAATCATTTTTATTTAATGTTAGTTCTCGTAGTTGTAGTCTTAGACTATAGTCTGCGTACTGTCAGTGAATCTTGAATATCTCGGTATATAATTATTAATTGCTAAACTTGCTCTAGATTCTAAGTGGTTGTCTGTGAAACGGAAACAATATGTTGTTCTTTGAAAATTCTGATTCACACAGGTAGGTCAGGTCAGTCTCATCGATTGTGAATAGCCAAATCTCCTGTCTAGCTGGCGTCGTTGCTCCATAAATATGTTTTTTAGTATGTACGTCTTAATTATTAGTAAAGGCGATCACCCTAAAATGTCTTGGCGAGTCCACCGGTCGATCGCGATCGACTTAATGCCCATCCTTGCTTTACATTGTTTGCGAAAACTACGAAAAAATACCTCAAACAGCAGGATGTAAATGACGCAGTATTTTCTTCTATGTATAAAGTTGAAAAAGAATTCTTTGGAGTCAGGAATCAAAACGATTTACAAACATATATTAGTCACTATTTTAAAATTCCCAATTAACTGGTGCGTAATAAGTCACGAATAGTTTTTTTTTAGCCGTTGTGTGAATAAAAGTGCGTAATTTCTAAATATGAATAATTTTTTGAGTAGTTGTTTATAGTAGAATTTCCAGAATCGTTAAATCGGAGTCACACTGTATATTAGAGTATCAAAATGCAGGAAATATTATTTCTCAGATTTATTATTTTATTAGCGTCATTAAGAAGCAACACGAAAGCAACTAATGATGAGCAGCGTGATTCTGAAGCACGGTCTAGTAACCAGTGTTACACCTGAGCTGGCACCTTATTTGCTTGTTTTTGCAAAAGATTTGTAGAAATTTATTCTTGCAGTTTTTGAAGTGCACTTATGACGTCTTTAAATGCTTTTTTTTTAAGTTATACTTCTTTTGGGGCGTTAGAGAAATAGGATGAGGGAAAATTTTTTTAAATGCGCGCGCCCCCCCGTCACGGATGCGAAAACCTTTTGTCAAGAAATATACAGAAGGGGACAAACCCTTTCCCCGCCTTCGAAATTCTCAAAAAAAATATTTCTTTTACTTTCCTGAAGAAGGGGCCCCGGGTGTGAAGGGGACCCCCCGATCTGCAGCGTCCTACCCTGAGCATAAACCCCCCTGCGTGAACCTTTTTTTTGCGTTGTAGGAACGGATACAAAATCTTTGTCTAGAAATATGCAGAACGGGGCGCTTTTTCCCGCCTTCGACCCTCCCCATATTATTCCCTATTGTTAAATTTATTTAAACGTGATGATCTCGGTTTGGCTGCCCCATTGACAGGTTAGTATCGTTCAATTCGCTCATGACCGCCTTTCGTCCTCCCAGCTTGCCCTGAAAAAGTTTTTTAGAAAGATTTTAATCTTGTTACGCCAAAGAAGTCAAACCTTACGTTAATAATAAACACAATTTTTTTTAAAATTTGCTCTTCATTATGATTCCAGAAACGTTATTTTTACAAACAGAATACACCAAATATAACATTTCATGTTTCACATTTTTTAAAAATTCTTTAGAGTTAGTGCCATCAGATATAAAACACCATATTTAAATGTTCGAAAATTCTACATTTAGTAATGTTGTTTTTATATGTATGCTTTCAGATTTAATTTTTCGGGATAATTTGCAAAATTTTGGATTTACAGTCGGGCCACTATTTAACGAAGCCGCTAAATCCAGGGGGAAAAAGTTCGTTACGAGGAAAATTCGTTATATAGAGATTCATTTTTCAATATTTTTCTGTTCTTGGTTCCAGAAAAAAGTTCGTTAAAATAGAGAAATTCGCAAAATAGAGATTCGTCATATGGAGGTCCGACTGTATTTTATGCATATTGAACATCTTAAAATATTGTGTAAATATGAATTAATATTGCTAAAACCACAGAGGAGAAGAGTTATCAGCATTTTTTAAGAGTTAGGCGTTTTCATGGTTTCAATTTTCCTTCATAACTCCCACATTTGAGGAATGCACAATTTTATTTAAAACATCATTTAAAATTCTGCAAACTGCTATGTAAAAAAGAAAGCTTTTACAGGAACCAAATCTATCAAGTTTTTCAAAATTTCATGCAGAATCTGAAAGACAAACTTGATGTGACTATGCAAAGTTTTTTTTACATGGATAACACATTTTGATAGAATAGCAATATTATCTTGCATTGTTAAAGTGTCTGCAATAACCAAGTAGTATGGCCGTGAGCTTGCTGTTATTATAAGCTCGATTCTATATAGATTTATTGCGTAGCGAAGTTGATACATACTAAATCTGTTAGAGCACCATGTTTTTACGTTGGTGAATTGTAGAAGTTAGAAAAAAATGAAGTAGTTTCATCCGACTTCATGAACGAGTTCCCATTATGTTTGTCGCCAATAGCCATCAGTGTTACTTATAAGTACGATGTTAATAAACAATCATTGAAAGTTTGACTTCACAAACTCCTTTATTCTTCTCAATTAAAATAATTTAAGATTTACTTCTTTGTTGAATAGCATTACACTTTTAACAAGTGATTGACGAGTATACTCGTCATGGAGAAATTACAAGATGTGACATGACGAGTATACTCGTCACGCGTAAAAAAAGTAGGAACTATTGGCTATTTAAAATTGCTATTTTTGTGTGTGTGTGGGGGGAAAATATTCTCAAATTTCAAGATGTTTAAAATATTTTGAGACCAGGTCGTAGTAAAACACAAACAAATAAAAAAAAAGAAACGAGTCTTACAGTAGTCGCATATGATGTGTAACATCTGACATGTCATCGTGGTAAATACGCAATATTAACTTTTTTCCTGAAAGAAATATGAATCGGGTATGATTGGAAATAATTTTTTTATCGAATAATTATATCTTTAATGAAAATTGTATTTAATTAACACAAAAGGAGTAATGCAATATTTTATCAAAAATAATTATTCTTGTTTAATTTGGGGATTGATTGATTGATTGAATATTAAAGTCGTATGGTTCAGCTACACGAGGGCTTTAGGCGACGGACCACGTAATTTTGAACCATGGTCAAATGACGTCGACGACACCTGAGCTGGCACCCCCTTTCAATTTGGGGAAGAGCGGAGACAATAGACTTATGATAACTAAAATATGACACATATACTTGTGACTTCAAAGTATTTAAAAATTTAAAAACCGTTGAAAAAAACAGCGTCGAAACATTCTAATTTGTGTTCATTTCAGCATTCATAAAAGCTATGAGCGGCTCAGCTTTTGGCAAACTGAAGTTAAAGTTGAAATCACCACTCAAAATCAGGGGAAGCGAGTGATAATTTTTTTTAAAACAGCAGAACCTCCTTCGTTTTTTGGTAAAAGTACAAAATGCAGGAAATCTTTAATTTTTTTTTTAACCGCTTGGTTCGAAGAAATGTATACGACCACCGAAATCAGTGTTTGCCCATTTTCAAATAAGCATTCTGCCGCACTTATGCCCGCCCCGCCCCCCAATATCATGACTAACGGATTTAGAGTCAAGCGCTCGAGTTCTTGATGGCTACTAGAGTTGGACCCCCATGCGAGGGTAGCGAAAAGACACAGCCACGCACTCTCATTGGTTAAATCAAGTAGCGCGCGCTTACATCACATCCCTTTTCACGAAATCACTCCCAACAAATATCCAGCAACCGAGAGGAAAGATGTTACACATCAAAAATATTAAAAATTTAAGATGAACTCATGCGTCCCTACGTTGAAACAGGGGTGAAGTTCCCCTAATTTATTTATGTGCGATGAAAACTTTTTTTTAAATTTTAAACTAAAGGGCAAAGAAAAAAGTAAAAGTAATTTATAAAAAGGGTTCTTGTATTGATCACCCGGGGACAAATGGGGGGTGAACCGGGAACCGGCCCATTGATAACTTTTTTGGGGAAGTTACCTAGCTATCGGTGGTGTGAGCAATTGTTTTATTTA